TATAAAATTAAAGTATGTCAAATGCCTGTAAGCCCTCTTTAACATGTTGTTTTTGGCCTGCTACACCTATCTTGACCTACCTTGAAGTGGGTCTTGATCTTTTTTACTTTATCCAGCATATAACATCATACAACAGTGTCATCATTTTGATATAATCTGTTGAACTGATATTAAATTCATTCATTCATTCATTCATTCATTTTTAACAGCATAATGGGAAAACAACTAAACAATCTAGTTCCATCTTTTCAATTTTTACAAACTAGCTAGACAGCTTAATTTAAGCTATATTTTTAACCCTGTTACTTTTGTCCTGTTACCCTTTTTCTGTAATTGTTTCATTGATTGATTGATTGATTGATTGATTCATTCGTTTGTTTGTTCATTTACTTTATAAATTTAGTCTATTGACCCCTGGTTTCACAGACCAGTCTCAGTCTTAAGTCTAGTCCCAGACTAAAATGCATGACTTGAGTTTAAACTGAAAGAAACATGCACTGACTGATTTTAAAGGATGTCAGTGCCTTTGTTTTGTCTCAAGATGCACACCAGTATTGTTATTTTCTAAGGAACATTTATAAAAGATGTCCTAATTGAGCTATGGCCTAATCCTGGCTTAAACTAAGCCCTGTCTGTGAAACCAGGCCTTAAAGTTTATTATTCGATTTAATTTATAGCAGCTTTTATTTCTAGAAAATCACACAAATCGGGTTTTCAAGCTGTGTTTATCCATGCCTCAAATATTGCTATCAAGGTTACAAAAATTGCAAACCTAGCATAATATTAATAAAAAATAAAACCTCATATTCTTAATTTGCCACCTCGTGGTTGGCAGTCCACGCTTTCTAAATGTCAAGCACTTACTTTTGCTGACCGTTCATAGAAAATAACACAAACAAATTCTTTTTTTTTTTTGATAATTTCAGGCCCTGATTTGTGTAGTATTTGTGGAAAGTGTAGCAGGTTTCAGGCTGATATGTAGTTACAGTAGATGTGTGCAGTCATTAACAGTATTGCATGTCTAATTATTCTATTGCAGTAGAGAGAGTGTCCTTAGAGTAAATGACTTGTTTAAGAAGTGCTTTGATTTTTCTTCCCCCTCCTCAGTTTCACATCTGACTTCTCCAGATAATTGGACACTTTTTTTTTATCCGTCATGTTTCTGTTGCTTGTTTCCATCGAGTGGATTACAGGTTATGATATGTGAAAGATGCTTGAAATGTGCATAATCTGCCAATTAAAGTCATTTAAATGCAGTTATAATTCATCCTAATGTTTTGTTCCCGTTGTTTTAATTATTTTTTTTATTTTTGGGAAGGTTTCTGCTTTATGTGCTGCACTGTGTAAGTCTTCAAGTGTCAAGGTAGTGTTTGTTTGTGTTCATTAACAGTGTCCAACAGAGCATGCAAATAGCTCTCATGTGCATGTGGAACAAGAACAACTTGTGAAATTTAGATGAACTCTGACAGCAAGCAGCAGTCTGTAATTATACCTCTCAACATTGTGTTCTGTCATAATCATTTTCTCCGTTTATGTATTTTGGTGTGCCATCTCCTTCCTTGCCATCATCCCTGTGGTTTTTGGCACCTTTGCGCTGTCAGAATGAAAAATTCATGTGAAATGTCGTTTCCTGTTTCCAAATGCATCCATTACCTCGGTATGGGGGTACCACCTTTTCAGAATTCTCTTCAGAAAAGAAACCTCGGCTGAACTGTGGAAGAGCCACCTCCAGTCTCACGTCCCTCACAAAAGAGAGAGCTCATTTGTGTGTTTCACTCTCGGTGACTTGTTAGTGATTCTGCATTCGGTCCATATCTTTAAATTCCTGAATGGCAGAGCCTCGGCCACTGCTGCAGGGGAGAGATGAGAAGCTTCACAATGGTTATGCAGATGGACGGGAAACTGCCCATGCCCATGTGGATTTGCAGTTGGGTCTACCAGCGTGGAGACATAGTCAATCAGACAGGAAATGCAGATGATTCAGTGGCAGTGTTGAGCTCATAGCCTCATAATGTTGGTTTGATTGTAGTCTTTTGCATAAAGTGCCCCACATTGCAGCTCATGCTGGTCAAGAACTGACTACTTAGAATGGAACAGACTATCTGACTAACATCTGTGCTATAATTTTCAAAAGTGTGGGGTTGGAAAGATTTGTTAATATTTTTGAAAGAAGTCTCTTATGCTCATCAAGGCTGCATTTGAACAACATTGTGAAATATTACAATTTAAATATCATTTGAATATGTTAATATAATAATATATACTGTAATGTATATATAAATTAATATAATACACATAATAAAAGATTATAATCTATTATTATTAATACATTTTAGAATATAATTTATTCCTGTGATGGCAAAGCTGAATTCTCAGAAGCCATTTCTCCAGTCACATTATCCTTCAGAAAATATTGTAATATGCTGATCTGATGCTCAATAAACATTTTATTCTTATGATCAATGTTGAAAACAATTGTGCAACTTTATTTATTTTTTTTTTAATTGTGATTGAATTTTTTTGAGGATTCTTTGGTCAATGGAAAATTAAAAAAAAAAATTAATATAAATATTTTATAACATTATAAACACAGTGTCACTTTTTAACAATTTGATGCATCCTTGCTGAATGAAGTATTAATTTCATTTGAAAAAATCAAACTTTTCCTAAACTTGACCAAAGTGTAACCCTGTTTTTATACAGTCTATGGTGTAACCTCTGTTAGTTTTGTCTTTAAGTGCCATTTAAGGGTGGTTTATCTAAAACTGACTGTCACAACAAATGTGTTGAAGAAACAACTTTAAAAAAAGATTTTTGTGGTAGAAATTCCCATACGCACCTGATCTAAGTTAAACTGGGTGTCTCCCAACACCAAACATTATCCTCAGGTGCCTCTGACCGCATCAACAATAGCTCTGACTGCACTAGAGAACCAGGCCTTATGCCGGGTTCAGACTACACAATATTTTTGTCGGTCACGATAGTCACTGTGTCAGATTACACGATTTTGACTCCTAAAATCTAGTCGTGTCGTGGAAAAGAAACATGTCAGACTACACGTTGCTTCCCAACCATTCATCGCGTGCCGTCTTTAACGACGCACATGATGTCATCGAGAAGGCGGAACTAGCGACTGACTTCCGAAAACAAGAGTGTAAACATTGCTGAAGCGCTTCCGCTATAGTTCACCAGCATTTTTTTTCTTTGTTCTGTCGTGGTAGTCCCTCGATGACACATCATACAGGCAGGAGTACTGTTGCCACAGCTCCACGAACCCTTCCTCCATCTCATAATTCCACCTAGCAGCACCATCGTCTCTCTTTCATTTTGCCATGTTTGAAACCTGTGTATGAAAGAGCTTCTGTGCTGCTATTGGTCAACGTCACCAATGTGACAGAACTCGTCGTGGACGACGGGAAAAAAATTAAACATGCTAGTCTTTCTGTCGTGATGTTGTGAAGCATCGCAGACGCGGAATCGGTTGTCGTCCACTATGACACACTACACGTACTGAAACGATGGAATCTTATGTCCCGATGCCCATTGTCATTTGCGAATCCCCACGACACCCTACGTCAAGCAAATCGTGGCAAAATCAGGCTAGAATCGTGTAGTCTGAACCAGGCATTAGACATTTCAGTTAAGAATTATAGTTACCCAATGCCTAAGAGTGTCACACTGAGTCGCATGAGGTCTCCCCCATGAAAACTATCACTTTGGAATAAGATTTCTAGTGTTCCACTACACCTGCTGTGCAGCAGTAACCAGACAGACTCCAGACGATTCTTTTGAATGCTTTAATTAGGGTTGGGTATCTCATTTCAATCACAGAGAAACCCTCCAGCAAAAAAAAAGATACAACAGTTTTTATTATTTTCAGACAGACATCTAGCTGTCTTGTCCATACGCATCAGTTACTGCAACACACTAACAAAAATGTTGGCACATTTTGTATGAGTATAAAGTATACAAATGTTAGGCATGCAAGAAAAAGACAAAAGTTAAGCCTGCAAAGAAGAGAAATGTTAGTTTTATACATTTTTTTAAATGATTAATTTAAAAGAAAATCCTTCATATTTGACCCACAAAGACCCGGGAGGAGGGAAATCTGAATGTACTATGAGAACAGCATTTCTGCCCATCCAACAGTAACAAGCACAGAGACAAACGCAGAAAATAAAGTGAAAATTGATATGTAGTATACTTGAGTACCTCAAATAAAACTTTGAATTTCTTTCAAGGATTTTATGTCATTAACCTTTGCAAAAGTTGGCAAGTCCAGTGATTATTTCATCTTCAAAATGACCTTGTATCAACCTGGCAAGCACACCTTAGCTGCATTTAGATTTATTCAGTTTTATCTAAAGAGACTTGCATTTGGATTCAAGGTGTATATGAGCCAGATTAGAGTTTTGTAAGCAATATGCATCAGATGCATCAATATGTATCCAGTCATTGAATGGTCTGTGTCCATCTGTAGGTGTGAAACTAAGACTAATGTGATCAAGAATTGACTATTTTGTTTGATTTCACTGGAGAAAATTTTTATTTTTAACTAGACTTTAACTATATGTGACCCTGGACCACAAAACCAGTCATAATGGTCAATTTTTTTAAATTGAGATTTATAATAATCTGAATAAATAAGCTTTCCATTGATGTATTGTTTGTTAGGATCGGACCATATTTGGCCGAGATACAACTATTTGAATATCTGGAATCTGAGGGTGCAAAAAAAATAAAAAATAAAAATATTGAGAAAATCGCCTTTAAAGTTTTCTAAATGAAGTTCTTAGCAATGCATATTACAAAACAAAAATTAAGTTTTGATATATTTACGGTAGGAAATTTACAAAATATCTTAATGGAACATGATCTTTACTTAATATCCTAATAATTTTTTGCATAAAAGAAAAATCTATACTTTTGACCCATACAGTGTATTTTTGGCTATTGCTACAAATATACCCGTGCTACTTATTACTGGTTTTATGGTCCAGGGTCACATATATCTCTCATTTCTGGGGTGAAAGCTGTGTTCTCCGGTCACTACCACAGAAATGCAGGGGGCTGCTATGATGGGCTGGATATGGTGGTGAGCTCTGCTGTTGGTTGTCAGTTAGGAGACGACACTCATGGTGTGCGAGTGGTGGTAGTTACTGAAGATGACGTCATCCATCGCTACAATAGTCTGGACCAATTAACCGAAAGAGGAATGGACGAAGACCTGAAGAAATTGTTGGTTTGAATCCACCTGCAGATCACTAATCATGTGTATCTTCATCTTCAGCATTCATTATAGAACCTGAGCCATTGTTTGTACATTTAGAGCTTTTAGGTGTGTTTTTTACAGGAACGAAAAGAGCCTTACGTTCAGAATACATTAGCAAGCATTAAAAATTGGAACCTATTAATCTTTGATACTCACATCATCTGTCTCCATACTTTAATCATGCAAATGCATCTGAGAATTCCTTAAACACTGAAGTTAAATCACCTCATCATATTAATGGAGCTAGGGTACAATGGTAGTTTAATAGTGCTGAACATTTTGGATGACAGTTTGATGAGTTCACTCCTTGCTCCTCTCTGCTCATTACTCTGTTCCATCTCTGAGAGGAGGAAAGAGGCAATCTCCATGGTAACTATTGAAAGACGTGGCTGCGGTGACCGGGACATCGAGTCACTTGTTCTGTGGGTCGATCACCAAAAACATAATTGCTGGCCTCACCTCACACTTAGAAGCTCCCGAAAACAGCCAGGTGTGACTGAACGAATTTGGTGGCGTGCATGCAGCAAGAAAGTCATCTTAAAATGTCCAAGCTCTTGTCTGAATGCAGACTGTGACCTCGTAGCTTCCTCAACAGTGTCATACTGTACATGCTAAAATTAAACTGGATACTTTCCTTGTAATATTTATGTGTAATGTCTAATGCTATGATCATTTAGAGGGGTTCAAAAGTTTTCATTATAAATTATGAGTGGAAACAGGATTGTCAGAATATTCCAGTATTTGATTTGTGCCCCCTTTGCTTTAATGGTGGTTGCACTCGAGCTGCATGAACATCTGAATCACTTAACGTCCTGTATAGAGGAGTTCACATGATCAATGTTGCAAATTTACAGTAAAACTTTGCAGTAAGGTCCCATTTGTTAACTAACATGCACTAGCAGTGAGCAATACAATTTTATAACATTTATTAACCTTTATTAATGTTAAAAATACATTTGTTCATTGTGCATGTTAGTTCAGCTTTTGATTAAAAAAATATTAATAAATGTTGAAATTAACATTAACCAAGGCTAATAAATGCTGTAGAAGTATTGGACATTGTTATTTCTCATCTAATGTGGTTAATAATGTTAGCAAATGAAACCTTATTGTACTGGAGATTGTTTTTGATTAATGACTTAGGAATCTACAGTAAGTGTAGAATCTGAAACATTTCACACACTTTTTATATTTTATTTCTTTATTTAATTTTTTCAGAATCTTATAACTTTGATTATTTCAAGGTTTAATATAATTAAATTAGATTTTGAATTTTATACATGGTCGTATTTTTGTATTATGCTTCAAATGACAGCAAAATTAATTGAAAAGTGTAATGCTTTGTCTCTTTGTCTCTGTTTTTACAAATTAGCTGTTCATTTAAAGTTCTTTTGGTTATAAATTCAGGGCTCCAGACTGCAAATAAAATTCACACAAATATGACCAAAAATAAATTTGCAGGAATCATTTAAAATCTAGTCACAACTGACAACAGTTAGAAAAACTTTGTGTTTGTGTGTTTTTAATCAGACAGTCAAAAAGATTCACATTCAGCGGTTTGAATCAGACTCGAAACGACTATAAGGAAAATATTGGAAATAAAAACTTATTTAACTTATTTTATTTAAAAAGCAGAAATATTCTTTGTAATGATATGTAAATGGCACAAATACAATCAAGATCATTCGAGTGACAACATCAAATGGCAAAAAGAAATACAGTTATGAATCAGCGATACAAAAAAAATACCACACCAATGTTTCAACTGGTATGGTTCAAGGTATGATGATATTTATAATGATATTTAACTACAGTCAAGATAACTAAAGTGACAGCATCAAATGAAAATCACTAAATGAATCAGTGACAGAAAAAAATACCACACCAATTTTTCCTCAATTACACAAAACAATCTTTCCCATTGCTAGCAGCTCACTGCACAGACCTGACTCAGTGAACCTAGACATAAGATATCCCTTATTGTCTCTCCAGCTTCTTCCTGCAGCAGCTCTTGTATATTGAAAGCATCTTCCTGTGCTTTTTGTTCTGATCTCAAGCCAGAAGGCAAGTAATCAGCATGTCACTCTAAGATAGCATGCAATACTCAAGGATGTACAACATAATACGATTTGTACAGGTCAGTGACTACACCGTAGTAATGGCCTCTGTTCTTACATTGATAATTTGGATATGTTACAGTAAGTCAGCTGTAAAGAGATACACATGTTTCTGTTATAGAAATGCAGGTTTCTTATAGAAATAAGCCATTGGTCAGTTTGTAAAGCACAGTTTTTCTTGCCCATCTCGGTTGATTCTCACATGGACAGGCAGCATAGCACAGTAGATGAATTCAGTCTTGGAACAGGAGGACATCTGACATTTAGCAGGTTGGTTTTCTTCACACAGCAGAATGAACTCCTACACTGAGTAAATCACAGGGCATCAACAGCCTGACATATAAACCACCAATAATAACCACCTGCCGAACATCCAAAACTGACTTTATCTTAGCTGCTATTGAAGTGTAAACTATCCTTTATTCAGCAGTTAATTACGGAATACTAGACTAATCAGAAAAGTAGGCAGAATTTAATTTAATATTAAATAAATCAGTTTGTCTGAATCTGTGATGGGGTATTTTTCTGTGAGTTTTTCTGCAGGTTATATCTACACGGCAGAAGGTGGCGTCAAGTGAATGTTTTATGAGTTATTCATTCAACTAATTCATTCTAAACATTGATTCGTGACTGTCTTTATGAGCGAATCACTGATTCATTCACTCAGATTCATTAAAAAATGCTGATTAATTTACAATCTCAGAAAAAAGGTACACCCTCACAATACTCAATACAAGGTGCAAAAGCTAAAAGGTACATATTTGTACCTTATTTACTGCTAAATTATACATATTAGCACCTTTTGAAAGGATACCGACCCAGTGACATTTTTGTACCTTTTTTTTTTGAGGGTATAGGGATGCAGTGAGTGATTAATGAGTAATATGAGTGACTGAATTATTCACTTAACTGTTTTATTGAAAAATGCTGGTTCATTCAGGAATGAAACACCACCGTGAGTTGCAGCAACAGTTATACTAATGCTTTATTTTAAACTGTTTGTGTTGGCAGCACAAAACCAGACAAAGTTGACAGTTATTTGATCTAAAACGTATGTCACTCAATATTAAATTCTTGCCACTAAACTATGCACATGTCGGAGTTAATGAAAAGGCGGCTTAAAGGCCATCCATGAGCATTCCCATTCAGCCAACCCACGCCTGAATTTCCCGCTTTTCCAATAAAAAAATAAAGGGTCCAAAAGTTTCTGAAGCAAGAACTTTCCACAAGCCAACACTTGAGGTTGTCAGTCAACCCTCACACAGACTTTGACAGATTACTGTACAGTCTGCCCATCTGCGCAAGCTATTTTAGTGCAGTTGGACTGTAACAGTCATTTTCAGTATGCAGTGAGGTGGAGGGCACATTAGCAAAGAGACGCAGACACACACTACATCATCAAGATGCCTCATTGGCATTGCAAAATGACTTGGCCTATAAATACCTGTCTAAATAAGACTAGAAAACCCTAGTCATTTTAGATGGATTGAGATGTTTCATTAAAAAAAAAGTGCTTCTCATACATAATGCCATGGATTGTGTGACCTCACATATGATCTTGTCTTGTTTATGCATCTTTTGTTTCTTTAATTAGAATTTCAACTCATTTTTTAACATAGAAATGACTTGCAGAAAGTTTCTATATTCTACATCGTACGTGAACATCCTTCCTTTTTTACTGGTTCTTTTAACATCCAGTAAGAATGCTAATGCAGATAATCTGCCACCACATTTCCTCACAGCCTTGATTTTCATCCTCTGCTTCAATTAGATTATTACACATGATATTAATATTTGGATTAAAGAGAATTGCAAAATGGGGCTAATACTTTTAAAAGCACCTTTAGACTTATCAGCCACACTGCAGTTTGGTTTCAACAATAAGAGCTCCATTTTTAAATTAATTGGCACAAAAACTGTCTGATCAAATGGAGCAGCTGTAGTAATTTCGTAAAATATTAAATGTGTTTCCACTTTCAACCTCAAAGTATTTTCTGTTATTATTTGTTCTGTTGAAATGCATTTTCTGGTGACTCACAGCATCTGTGATTTTCCCCAAACACTTTGTATTACTGAAAGATCATTTATCATGTAACTAGCCAGTTTATTTTGTATCCTTGAAGCTTTAAATTCCCACAAGAATGTTCCCTCAGTGGTTTTTGAGTTTACTTCATCAGGCTTACACTTTTCTCACTGTAACTTCATTTGGTGTTTGCAAACCAAATATCCTGCAATGTTAGTCATGTACCTTGGTGACTTTAATCCAATTTGTGGTAGGCTCTGCCTTGAAGGTGCTGTATCCCTTCAACTAACTCACAATCTCTCCAAAACCTCACTCTTCCAACATGTGACCGCACACCTACCGTGGACGAAGCGGAGTCTAGTCCGGGGTCGTCACGCCCGCCGGCCGCTCCTTCGTCGAATCCGCTGGCCGCGCCGTTCTTAAGTCCACCGGCAGCCGCTAACTCTAGCCCCCGGCCTCTGGTCACTCTAGGCCACCGTTGGGTTTTCATGTTTTTGAATCTTCGCTCCGGCCTGACAGGGCATCGTCACAATATGGTAAGGGGCATAACATTTCCGTCACATGCTTGAAGTATTCGGCCAATCACAACGCACTGGATAGCTGGCCAATCACAGCACACCTCGCTGTTTTTTTTTTTTTACTGTACAATATTGTTTATTTTCTTTTTTTATTTTTTTTTACACCTAGCTTTTTTAGCACCATGAGCTTTGTAAAAATCGACGCGTTTCAGAAATGTATATAATGAGCGAGTACATCATGAATTCATCTTCCAAACTGCGTTTTTGTCTTATTCCGAATCACTACGGTACACTTATAATAAGTACTTATATTTGGACTATTGTAGCCTGGTCGGGTCGTCACCGCTGCGGAGTAACACATACCTGCGTGAATCGCCATAGACATAAACTTAGAGAAGTAGCTCCGGTTGGAATGTTCTTCCGCGGGATGTGTGCAGTTCTGTTTATTAACCGCTAGAGCGCCAAAAGTTACATAGTGCTGCTTTAAAGTGAATGTTCAACCAAAAATGAAAAGTATGTCATCATTTACTCACCCTCATGTCATTCCAAACCTGTATG